GCGGTGCCCGCTACCGGAGGGGCACCGGGGGGTCCGGGCTGGGTTCCGGTACCGGAGGGGCACCGGGGACTCTGCGCAGGGGTTGGGGTGGCGGAGGGGGCTCGGGCTGGGCTGGAGCAGCGGTACCGGGGGGCTCCGGGCGGGGGTGCCGGTACCGGGGGGCTCCGGTGCCGGTACCGGGCAGGGCCCGGGGCTCGCTCCGCCCGCGGCTGAGGCGGCCCCGTGCCCGCAGGGATCTGGGCGGCGGCGCGGGACGGGGACGAGGCGCGGGTGCTGCAGCTGCTGGAGCGGAGCGGGGACCCCGCGGAGCCCGACCGGGCGGGGTACACGGCCCTGGTACACCGGGGCACCGGGGGGCACGGNACACGGCCCTGGTACACCGGGGCACCGGGGGGCACGGCCCGGGGCACCGGGGGGCACGGGGGACACGGCCCTGGTACACCGGGGCACGGGGTACACGGCCCTGGTACACCGGGGCACCGGGGGGCACGGGGGACACGGCCCTGGGACACCGGGGGGCACGGCCCGGGGCACCGGGGGGCACGGGGGACACGGCCCTGGTACACCGGGGCACGGGGTACACGGCCCTGGGGCACCGGGGGACACGGGGGACACGGGGGACACGGCCCTGGTACACCGGGGCACCGGGGGACACGGCCCTGGGGCACCGGGGGGCACGGCCCTGGTACACCGGGGCACCGGGGGACACGGCCCGGGGCACCGGGGGGCACGGCCCGGGGACACCGGGGCACCGGGGGGCACGGCCCGGGGCACCGGGGGGCACGGCCCGGGGACACCGGGGCACCGGGGGGCACGGGGGACACGGCCCGGGGCACCGGGGGGCACGGCCCGGGGACACCGGGGCACCGGGGGACACGGCCCGGGGCACCGGGGGACACGGGGGACACGGCCCTGGTACACCGGGGCACCGGGGGGCACGGGGGATACGGCCCGGGGCACCGGGGGGCACGGCCCGGGGCACCGGGGGGCACGGGGGACACGGCCCGGGGACACCGGGGCACGGGGGGCACGGCCTGGGGCACCGGGGGACACGGCCCTGGGACACCGGGGCACCGGGGGACACCAGGGGGCACGGCCCTGGGGCACCGGGGGTACCGGGGGCCTGGTCCTTGGGCACCGGGGGTCCTGACTGGGTACGAGGGCACGGAGGGCACCGGGGGTGTTTGGGGTCGGTTCTGCCCGGGGGCACAGCCCTGGCACCGGGGAGAACCGGGGATCTTTGGATCCTTCCTGCCCTGGCACCGGGGATCCCGGGGGTCGGTCCCGCCGGGGGGTCGGTCCCGCCGGTGCCCGGTAACCCCGGTAACCCCGTGCCCGCAGCACTACGCCAGCCGGAACGGGCACCTGGCCGTGTGCCGGCTGCTGCTGGAGCGCGGCGCCCCGAGCGACGCCC